CGGCGGTGCGGGGGCTGTGGGACGAGCTGGAGTCGACCACGCGGACGAAGGCGCGGCGCCTGTTCGACGCCAACCGCGCCGAGCTGTGCGCCCAGTCCTGCGCGGCGCTGCGGGGCTGGCTGGCCAGCGTGCACGCCCAGCTGCGCTCCGACGACTACGGCAAGGACCTGACCAGCGTCAACATCCTGCTCAAGAAGCAGCAGGTCCGGCCCGGCGCGGGGACGGGGTCTGCGGGGTGCAGGGGATGGGAGTGCAGGGGGATGAGGTGCACAGGGATGGGGTGCAGGAGGTGGGGTGCAGGGGGACAGGGGGTGCACGGGGATGGGGTGCAGGGAACAGGGGTGCACAGGGATGCGATGAACAGGAGTGGGGTGCAGGAGATGGGGTGCACAGGGACGGGGGCACAGGGAAGGGGTGCAGGGGACAGCAGGGTGCATGGGGACGGGGATGCATGGGGATGGGATGCAAGAGATGGGATGCAGGGAACAGGGGTGCACAGGGATGGGATGAGCAGGGGTGGGGTGCAGGAGATGGGGTGCACAGGGACAGGGGTGCACAGAGAAGGGGTGCAGGGGACAGGGATGAATGGGGACAGGGTGCAGGAGATGGGGTGCAGGGGATAGGGGTGCACAGGGAAGGGCGCCTGGCACCGCGGGGTGCCCAGGACAGTGCCCGGCACAGGGTCACTCACCCGCCCCGCGCCCCGGGCAGATGCTGGAGAAGCAGACGGCGGTGCGGGAGAAGGAGGTGGAGGCGATCCGGGCGCAGGCGCAGGCCCTCAGCCGGGAGGACGCCAGCGCGGCCGAGGTGCAGGGGCAGGTCCGCGCCGTGGAGGAGCAATTCCTGGGGCTGCGGGAGCCGCTGCGGGAGCGCTGCCGAAAGCTCCTGGCCTCCAAGGAGGAGCACCAGTTCAACCGCGACCTGGAGGACGAGATCGTGAGTGGGCACCTGGCCTCGGGAGGGGACCCCAGGGACCCCGGGGACCCCTGGCATCCCTGACCCCCCGTCTCCCACCAGCTGTGGGTGAAGGAGCGCAGACCCTTGGCTGTGTCCACCGACCACGGCAAGGACCTGCCCTCCGTCCAGCTCCTGATAAAGAAGAACCAGGTGGGTTCAGGGGGGGTCCGGCAGCCGCCGCAGCCCCCTGCGGGGGGGGCCCGCCATCCCCCGGGGGCGGCCCCGCCCCCCCC